TTGTGGACACTGGTACTAAAGGAGACTCTATGGTGTTTGCCAAAAATACAATGCTCACAAAAGTCTAGTTTACTAGTTTTCTGGCCACAAAGCGGACCTTGTTTGCTCAATACATTTAGTCCTCTCTCACTCATATGCCCTAATCGCATATGCCACAAATATGTAGTGTCAGAATCTGAATCCTCTGAGGATGACACTGCTGCAACACCTGTCACTGTATTGCCTTCAATGATATAAAGGGTATTTACCTTCTTTCCTTTTATCACAATAAGAGAACCTTTATTAACTCTCAAAACTCCACATTCAGTCGAAAACTTAAAACCATTTGTTCAAGGATGCCTAAAGAAATGAGGTTCTTCTTTAACTCTGGTATATGTCGGACATTGCGCAATATCCTAACAATACTATCATGTGTTCTAATCTTAATTGACCCAATACCAATAATCTTACAAGGCATATTATTTTCCAACAAGACATTCCCATCATCAATAGATTGATATCTGACAAACTAATCCCTATGTGGACACATATAATAGGAACAACCCGAATCAAGAACCCACTCATCTTGTGAATGAGTATTAACACTAACTGAAAAAACTTCATATAAACTAGAAAACTCTTCAGTTACAGTGACAACTGAAGGTTTCACCTCCTCATACTTTGACTGTGAATTATTCTTTGCTTTGAATGCTTGACAATTAGGTTTTATATGCCCACACTTGTGACAATAATAACATTTAATACTTTTTCTTAACATTGACTTTGATCTAGATATATTTCTAGATTTGCCTCTACTACCAACACCCTTTTCAGAATGACCACAAGTGAACAAGCCTTCAGCTTGATCCTTTCCTCCTACGATAGACACTTTCTGCCTTAATTCTTTTGAATGTAAGGCTGATTTGACATCCTCCAAAGAAAGTGCATGTCTACCATAAAGCATACTATTGACAAAATTTTCATAGGAAGGAGGTAATGAACATAACAAGATAATGACTTGATCTTTTTCGTTGATTTTAACATTAATATTCCTTAAATCCATAATAAGTTCATATAAGTGGTCTTTAATTCCTATACATTCCTTCATGCAAAGGTTGAAGAGGCGTTGCTTCAATTAGAGCTTGTTCGTTAGAGATTTCGTCATGTATAAACTCTCCAACTTGAACCATAGGTTGGTGCCAGTATCTTAATTGGCAACCTCCCGCAAGACCTTATCGGCTAAACAGAGTTGTATGGCACTATGCGCCTTCAACTCCAGCTCTTCTTTCTCATCATTGGACATAGATTTTGGTAACTTATCCTTCCCAGATAAGACTTTGAACAGTTTTTATTGTACTAGGAGAGCCCTCATTTTTACTCTCCACAAACTGAAGCTGTTTCTTCCGTCGAATTTCTCTACTTTGTACTTTACAGAAGACATCTTGAAGCCCACTAGAACAATAACTATAATTGTGAACAATAACCGTACTTGTGAACAGTGTTGTACTTGTGAATAGTAACTGTACTTGTGAAATAGTATTGTACTCATAAATAGTGCCCTAAGCCTGGTTCTGATATCAGTTTGTTGTAGCGGGGGTCTTCACAAATATAGAAAATATCTATACAAAAGTGGATAATAACAACAATAAATAAACACATTGAAGACAAAAAGAACAACACACAAGGATTTAACATAGTTTGGTCAGTATGATCTACGTCGACGGGTGATAACAACATAGAATTTTACTAATCACAAAAGAGAATATTACAAAAGAGATCACTCTCTAAACCCCACTAAAAAATCACACAAAGAAAGAAACTAACTCTCTCTCTCTCTCTCTCTCTCTCTCTCTCTCTCTCTCTCTAACTTCTCTCTCTATCCGATGCTCTAACCCTTCACCACTCTCCTCTATTTATAGCTTTCAAAAGGGTTGGTGTAATAGTGAAAGAGGTTGGTGGAATAGTAATGGGGTGGGTGAAATAGTAATAGGGTTGGTGAGTTTGAATTCAAAGTAAAAAAATAACAGTATGTATATGTTTGTTGCTGTTAAAAAATGAGACTGTGCAGCATAGCGTGTGTGTGAATTTGTGTGTTCTCTACAGATCAAGTTGACATAATTTTCTAAGGATTTGGATCCTTTCCACTACAAAAAAAATAGTGGAGGAACCACTACATAATCATAACTATTATCTAGTTGATGGTTGTGATTTTTTTTTTAGTGTAAATTAGGAATGAGCGCAATACACGGGGGTATAGTAAGTGTTAGATTTATATTGTATCATAACCGTCTACTAAATAATCAACGATTGAGATTAAAAGTAGTGGTCTCTCCACTACTTTTTTGTAGTGGAGATGATCCAAATCCATTTTCTAATGCTTCCTTGATGCATTAGTTTGCTGATGTTGTAGATGAAAATTTATACAGGACTTGGTGTAATAATTCTAAGTTTTTGGCTATATATATAAGAAAGAGTAAAGGGACTTTTATGAAAAAATTGTTAGAGCGTTCTAATAGCAACAAAGGACTCTTAAAATAGTAAAAACCCTACCCTAGTTCCTTCCATCATATTTCCGTCAGCCTACTCCTTCTCCTTCCTCCCGTCATTGTCTTGTCGCACAACAAAAAAATAAAAATAAAAATAAAAAAAAGTAAAATTGATCAGATCTGTTTTGAAGGAGGGTAGGTCAGGATTGTTACACAAATATAAGAGGTATTACTTCTATCTTTAGTAATTACTTTATGTGGCAAATTTTTGTATTAAATTATTTAGATCTTTTTTTAGATGATGATTAGCAGTAGTCATTTTTCCACTCTTATAGATTTCATAGGATATCAAATTCATATACCTCGCTGCCCTCATGTGTTTAGTAGAATAAGATATTTATTTAGTTTGGTTGGTTAGGAACAGCAAGGTCTTTGTCTTCTCTGTTAAAAGAAAAGAAGCAACTAGGTTAGTAAATTATTAGATAATATAGTTCTAGACTTATTAAGAGTTATGTAAATTAATTAATAGGATACTTTTTACTGATGACTGCTTGTATTTATCATATAGAGGTTCCTACAGGCTCCTTAGAAGTGTCGTGAGAGTTGAGTTTTGGTTTGTATTTCGAATTAGGGCCCGTTTGGATAATGGAAGTATTAGAAGTAAGAAGTATGTTATAGAAGTAACTTTCAAAGCTATGAAGTAGGAAGTAGTGAAAATAGCATTTTTTTTTGTTTGTTTCATATATTTTTAGAAGTAATGGAAGTAGAACTTCTTCCTCTTCATTTACTTTTTTTGTTTGGATAACATTTGAAAATATTATTAGGAAGTAATTTTATCAAGGAAAAGTTGTTAGAAGTAACTAATAAAGGAAATATTAATAAAAAATTATTTATGTCATAATTAATATGCATTTCAACTACTTCCGAGCTACTTCTGAATATTGAGGATTGGAAATTTTTTTTGGAAGTAAGGATGACACGTAGGCGCCGCATAATCATTTAGGAAAGTATTGGAAGTAAGTTTTTCAGAGAACCAAACACACTTTTTTGCTTGGAAGTAGCAGAAGTAGCCTCTATTTCTTTTACTTCAGCTACTTCACAATTACTTCCGTGCAAACAAACAGACCCTTAAGGTAAGTGGTGAATTTATGCATTTTGCACTGTGTATTTTTCATATAATATTTTATTATGTATGTACATATTTATTTCTGATGGATTATATCCTATTGTGTGATTTACTCGCATACTAATTATTGATTGGATAAATGCACATGGTTATTTGGTATAAGTCTATGCTTATTTTCTTTGTCAATTGTTATGTATTTTTATATAGCAGCAAGTTGAGATGCATATGTGGTTGATTGATTTTACTACTGGTTGGCCTTTGGCATTTTTGTATAAAATATTTAGTTTTATAAACTTTGTTCGATTTTTCTTAAAACATATGCATCTCAGGTTAATATACCGATATATATCGGATATAAGCAAGTTATTAAAACATGACTCAATGTGCCTCTATGAGGTTTTTATTTTAATGCTAAGAACCCAAGTTTGGGTCTCACCGTCCCGACCACGGGATATATAATAGTGGGGTTTGTCAAGTCAACCGGAGTATCGAAGTGTTGATCGCATTGAGACGTGGCCTGCTTATTTCCATTGCATGTATATATTTTGAAAATGTTGCATTATAAGTTTTACTATTTTAGTATTTTGCTTATCAAGTCAATTTATTTTTAGTTTTGCAAAATCAGTGTATAATGTATGAATTTATCCACTTATTGAGTTGTGAACTCGTTGTATTGTTTTCATTCTATTCAGAGACTCGAGATTAGGTGGAATTGAGGATTTGTCAAATTTTTAGAATAGAGCAAGGAATATAATTCAAGATTGTTATTGTCTAGGTGAAGGTTAAATAAAGTCTTTGATGTTTAGTTGATGAATTGAGAGTTTTATAATAATGAGATTTTTTTCGTTTACGTCGAGTTTTATTTCAAGTTGAGGAATATTTGTTTTTATCAAGTTAATTGGATTAGTGTTGACTTTTGGGATTATAAAAAATATTTATTGTTGGTTTTAGTTTAATGAAGAGATTATTTTGATGGTCTTTTAATGAATGCATATTTCGGAGGATTTTTCACAAGTTTAGTCTAGCTCTAATATTTCTTTTAGGTTTGAAATTTGGGGTCGTGACACCTGGACTCACGAAGCATTATCAATTTTTCTTTTTTAATCTACTTAGAAAATCGTGGTCTGGAAGATTTGGACTGGGTGCTTTGATACCGTGTCAACGGATCCTGCTACTATACCACAACTCCAAAGTTATGGTGAGAGTTGAAGGTTATAATTTTATATTCTAGGAACGCTCTTTAAGCCTAGCAAGCTGCATTTAATTTAGTGATGTTTGAAAGAACCAAGTCTTGTTCTCTTACCTAAGATCAACTAAGAAGACGTTACAAGATTGTTGTGAAAGTAACTAGAACTATACATCAATTTAGGCACGTCCTCCTTGGGAAAATTCAAGGTATTTTATTATGTTTGTTAAAATTCTCAGTTCCTGTCCCTTTTACAAAGAAGAATAAGCCACCTCTTCTTGAGTCCTACTCATCCTCTACAAATCTAGCCATCTTGGCAAGAACATCTACAGCATCAACCAAGTGATCAATCCGAGCAACAAACTCAATAAGCAAAGATGCAAAGGTTGCGAGTGACAACGCTGTAGTGCTTTCAAAAGCTCTCATCCTCGGAATCAACTCAGCATCAGTCTTATCCTTTTCAAACTCCTCGACTTCCCTCGAAGGCCATGAATAAAGCTTCCTCTGTTGCTTCTTCATGCTCTCATGGTAAGACTCAGTTTGCACTGGATCTCCCAGCATTGGACATTCTTTGAGTTTGAATGAGGCGTCGATGTTGAAGGGTTTGGTAGAGGGGATCAGAAGGTAGGAGTGCATGTCGATGGAGCGTTGGAGTCGCTCTGTTGAGCTGTGGAGTTGCTTCAGCAAACTGGAGTGCAGGTTGTGCTTCATGTTGCTTATGTCTTTCGCCAAGGTTCGGATGAGCTCTGCTGCGTGGTTCGTTGCATCTGATATCTCTGGTTGGAATGTGCATCGTAGATTGTGTGGTGCCTGCAAACGGGTATTTTCATATGTACGGTGAGACTCAGAATCAGAAAATTGGCATCTCAAATGCTTTACCTGGATTTATATGATATAATACTGTTGAACGACTTGACTAAATTGAAAGTTGCCATCTAAGATGAGTCAACTTAAGCAGTGCTTGTTGAGTTAATAGGCACTTGTTCCCTCGAACAGCATATATGAACTTAGGTCCTAGTTGTTTGAGCATCTGAGTATACCTTGGTTTATGTAAGCAGATGCTAATATATATGCTCTCGCATGTTGAAGGCCCTTTTAATAAACAGAAATATAGACTCACGCAGCGGTGTATTTTTCTAAAACCGTCTTTTCTAAAGCGTACTAAATGCATGACCAATAAGATTTAAACTTCGATAGCTTTGATATCATGTTAAAGATCATGTCAATCATCTGTTATGTAATCAATATGTTTGTGATGCACCATGTGGCTAGTTAAGATATACAGCTTGATGGGGCAAAATTTTCAACTTCTACCTTGCTACTTCCTTACGAATCAATTAGGTATTTATTTAGCATTAACAGATGTTGCTTTTAAAAGTATTGTTAAAGTCTTTGGAAATAAGAAGACCTGTATCTCGGAGTGTAGGCAGCCATGTAACGCCGTTACTTCATAGGCACAGTGTCGTAGTACTGCCCCTACTTTGACGTACTCTGGCCATGGATAGAAGAAATGTCTGAATCGCCCATGTGGTGGCTCCCATTTTGCCGAGCTCGCCTTTAGAATTAAAAAAACAGTCGTTTCTTCGTTAAGAAACAATGAAATACAGACATCTATGTATATAGAACATGAACAGTCGTTTCTTCATTAAGAAACAATGAAATACAGACATCTATGTATATAGAACATGATAAGGGGAAAAAGGGGAACAATTCGAGTTACCAATGATTCGAGCTTTGCTGACGAATTCAATATTTCTCTGCACTTCTTGAATGCTGGCTCATCTGGGAAGTCATCCATGACTGTCCTTGAGAACTCAGGATCGTCTGATCCACCTTCCCTAAAATACTTCTCCACACATTCTTCAAGGGAATCAGCTACAGAGTTGAAGCAGGCGACGAGTTCCTTGTGGAGCTGTTCTCCGGCCCAGATAGGCAAGATGAGGACGTTAACGAGGACAGCAACAATGCCTCCAATAGCAATGGAGTAGAGACGGTCCATGGCAGTTCTTATAGGGTTTCCCATCCGATAGCCAGACACGATGATGAGGCAATATGTGAAGAGGGTGACCCTGAATCCGTACTCATAAGGAACCAGCGAAGGCCATAGCTTCATGAACGATGTTATTGCTCCTATATATTTCCATCAAAATTCATAAGTACTTGATCAATGTAGTTAAGATACAACACGAATAAATATAGTTACCAATTAAGAAGATGCTAAAGCCAATTATGTAAGGCTCAGCTACACGACCACAGGACATAGCTACTTGAATTACTGCAATAGCAAACACTCCAGCTAGTAAACTCCCTAGAGCTCTATTGAATCCACGGTTAAATGTTGCCCCTGTAATGCACACGACATGCATCAGATTACATAATAACTGTTGCGTATAAGGTAGGAAGGAAAGAGCTAGGTAGTTACCAACTGTATATTCAAACATAATGGCGACGGTGAGAATGGACCAAATAATGCTTGTACCAAAAACCTCATACGGTGCACGAAAGAGTATGAGCAACGACACCAAGAGTACAGCGAACCCTACTTTGAATGCAAATGTCACCCTGTTGGTGTCTTCCTTGGCAAACTTCCACACATAGTGAATCCATCTTCTGGGCGATAATTCGTTGACATAAGGTTTTTTGACATGCCCCAGTGCTACTGCATTCGATTTCAAATTGATGTCTATAGTAATACTACCCTTCTTTCCATTCATTTTCCAATTAGAAATCTATCAAGGAGATATCGGCATATGGATCAAGTTGTAGCTAGCTTGTGTGATGAAGGAAGTAACGGAACAAAGCAGGAGTATTTAAAGGGTGATCTGCATAGTTGAGCTAGGATCGAGAAGCTCGAAAGTGGTGCAAGTAGATCATGATAACGTAATTGAGGGAATCATGCCTCTTAATAATACAAGGAAAGATGGATTAGGAAACATAGGATAAGGGAAGATATTCTTTAGCTCAATAATGTTTCTGTTGATGGAAAATTAGAATCTTGGGCTAAAATGCATTCACCAAGGCACTTAATTAACCAACTTCAACTTATCATCATTTTCTTCTATCATTCATGCATGATATAAATATACATGAACATCCATATGCCTTACATGTAAATAGTGGCGGGGCTAAGGTTCATGGGACAGTTGGTCGATAAATTAGCAATGCTTCTTTTTAATTTGGTAATAATAGTCAATACATATTTCTTCGATAGATTATTTGGCAATATTACACTAACACTGAAGGCAATATTAAAGCTAGGTCTAAAAAACAAGTGTAGCATGTAGGATAGATGTACTGCAGGTGATAATTTCAGAAACGCGTTTGCTTTCTCTTTGCGTAATATGGCTCAGCCAGTGCGTTTACGTATGTGCATGCGTATCACATTCGATCAATTTGTTCTTACTACTCAATCAAATGTGCTTGAATGAGCTAGTTTTCAACAAGACTGACAGTGTCAATCGGGTTACAGTTGAATGGATCCCCCCCATATATTCATCGATTTGATAATCAAAATTACATTTATGTATGATAATTGATAAGTGAAGCAATTACAATAGAAGAATTAATGATGTCGAGAATCATGCCCATTAGTATTGAACCTGATTCTGTGGTCTTGGTTAAAAATGAAGCATCTAGAACATTTGCTCTATGTATTTCCGACAATATGTATTGTGAAAATGAAATTTTTATCAGGCACATGAAGGAATAACATAATATTCTTAAATTGAACTTGCGATTTTTTAGAATATAACGTCAGGCTATACCTGGGCGTGGTAATTAAGCATCCGGTTCTAGGAACCTATTTCATTCCAAAGAAAACATCCTGATGACAGAAAGCTTGATTATTAATTATATAGGGGGGGAAATGTACAAGTTGTAGGAATTAATTCTTCTTTAGTTATAACTTGCTCCCATCAAAACAAACTAAAAAGGCTGGGGGCAATAATAAAGAGTCTTCTTATCACCTTCAGAAATATGGCGGTCCGATAATAACAAAATTGCTAGGTGTCGACTAAAACTCCAAGTTGGATCCAGATTTAAAAGCTAGGCCCAATGCTGTTAGCTTTTTTAGAGGCCAAGTTAACAGCTCTCTTGTAGGCCAAGTTGGTGGACAAGTCACGGGTGTCTTCAAAGAAGGCATTCTATTATAGGATTTTTTAGTAGAGAGAGGGAGAGGGACAATATTCTTATCCTTTGTTTGGGAGTTTACTAAGGGCAGGGATGGAAAGTTAAATAACAGAAAGGAAATGTAGGGAATGTAAGTGAAAAGATAAAATATTGTTTGAGAGTTTAGGAGGGGGAACGTAAGTAAATTTGTTTTACCTTGTTTGTGAATTTTAATAAAAAGGAGCTAGGGAAGTGAAGTGGATATGTATAAAGTTACATAAATACCCTTACATATTGGATGAGAGTATATCTTAGCCATTAATTTTAATGTCATAAAGGTATAATTGTCTTATCACATTATAAAATTTTACATTTATTTTCATTCCATCCTCTACCACCCAAATTGGAGGGGGAAATGGAAGGAAATTTAACATTCCATTCCATCTTCTAACCCCTCAAAAAAAACTCCTAAACAAGGTAAAATTGAAATTTTAATTTAACTTTTTATCTATTAACCTCCATCAAAATAAGGTATTATAATCAAGGTTTAACAGAGGGTGTAACCGAGTTGAAGGGTATTGTGAAAGAGAGAGTTTGACAGTCTTTATCCGTGCAAATCATTGTAATTTAGTGGTAATAGTAGATTATTCTTTATCCCCTAAGTTTTCCCTGTTGAGAGTTTTCCACGTTAAATCTCGTATGATTCTATTTACTACATTTGTTGATTTTTGGGGTTTTGTGATATAAAAATCTCAACAAGTAGTATCAGAGCGGGGGTTCGATGATTTGTGAAGGTTCAAGTAGTGTACAATCGGTGAGGTGTTAGAGATCGATGGCACGAGGATTGACACCGGCGAAGTAGATGAAAATGGCGGAAGCACTGCCAAGTGTTGGGTTCATTACTCTTCGATTGCGTGAAAGGTTGGAGGAGAGGAATCACATGAATAACACGCAAAGAAAAGATTTTTCATGAAGGTTACTGCAGCAGGTGGCAGAAACATTGTTCACATGGGTTACAAGGGTTTGGTTAAAAATTATTTTTTAAATCAAATCCGACAGTGCAAATTGATTTGTCTTCTAATCGGGCTATTAGTTTAGACAATAACTACTAGGAAGCAGACTTTAAATTTTGATGATGTAACAACACTCCGACATGAGAACAAAAAAATAATGGGGAAGGATAGTGGATTTAACGCTGGTGAGCATGCACTAACTTTCAAATGTTCTAATCGAGGGAGAAGTAAAGGGGATATGTGACAGTTACTGAGGTATGGGCATCAAAAATTATCTATAAGTTCCCGGATACATCTCAAGACGAAGAGGATAAGATTAGCGTAATTATCTAAGTCAAAGAAGATCGTCCGATGCTAAAATAAAGCAAAGGAACGCGTGAAAAGACGAAACGAAGAAGCGATGGAACGCGCAAATCGACAAAAATGCGGAACGAGACACGCATCAGTGTGTCTCGCCTGCGAGACACACAATAATGTGTCTCGCCGACGAGACACAACATGTATCTCGCACTAACATGCGAGACACAAAATATGTCTCGCAAATGGTGAGACACATTAATGTGTCTCGCATGCGTGGCCGAGACACAATAATGTGTCTCGCACAATCAGGTTGCCCCGATGCATTTTCTGATGGATTTCTCGAGATTCGTGTGGTCTATTGGCTTCTTAACTGCTTTGGGAACATCCCTAAACACGGGAAAATTGTTTCTAACTAAAGATACACTCAAATCAAGAATTCTTATCCGCAAACACGACGTCCGAAGCCTATAAATACCCTCCTAGCATCCATATGCACGGGGAGGGGGAGATCTGATCTTTTGGCGAAGTGCTGACGAATTCTAGAGCAGAGAGCCACGAATTTCAGAGAGAGAGAGGAGATCTTGGCGAACTTTAGCATAAAGAGGATAATTTCGAGAGATCTGTAGGCCTTCACCCCTTCCCTTGAGATCAAACCTTGTTTTGATCTCGAGAAGAGTATTAATCTCACCTTGCTGAGGTTATCTACTTCTGTTTTTATTTCTAAAACCAAATAAGAACAATGAGTCTTCTTCACGATTAATCCAGATTTGTGAATCAGTCGTCCATGGGCTAACGTGTTCCCGGTACATGTAAAGATCCAACACAAGCAGCGAACGATAAACGATATCTACGTGTGTTTCTAGAAGACCTTTTTTGTTTTCATTGTAATGAGAAGTCTTATAAAAAGACTAACTCCTTTGAATCTGTGTAAACGATAAACATTGTAATGGGTTCAACAATAAAACTGATTTCTGACGCAAACATGAGGGAGGTCAAAATCTCAGGCCTGAGACGATAGCAAAAGGGAGTATTATTATTGCGAAGAGAAGGGTCACATTCAGTTTAGAGGTTTCCAAATACGAGATGATTTGAAGAACATTAGACAGATGAAGCTTCAAGAAAATGGAAAGAAAGAGACTACTAAATAGTTGTGTTTGATGAAGATGTGGTGCTTATGACAGAGAGTATAGGTATTGATGCGTGTAACACATATGCGTTAGATTCTACAGCTGTTTGCAACAATAAAAAGTATTTGATACATTAAAGATGGATAAAGAATTTGGATGCGTTATCATTGGAAATAACAAGAAGATGAAAGTTGAAGGCGTTGGGAGAGTTCGCCTTAAACTTCAGACTAGGAAGATCGAGATTCTTTTCATGTGAGGTATGAGTCGTCGTGCGATGCTAATTTAATTTCGTTGAGTGAGATAGCATCATGTGGGTATAAGTATGTGGGTGAAAGAGAGTAGTTCAAAGTGTAGAGAGATGGTCATTTGATTTTACAATGAAGGAAGAATAACAACCATATTTGCTATTTAGATGGGCAATCTGTTAATGGTGTATGTGAATATTCTCAAACTCTTGTCCACAAGAGAGAGGTGAAGAACAAAAAGAAGAGAGTGAATTTTTCTGATGCCATTGAGATACTTGGAGGATTTTTCATTGATGGAGGATATGTGTGTGCCAAATCAAATTCAAAGGTGGATCCGGATTTGAAGGTTACGCCCAGCCCTAGTAGCTTTCTTACAAGCTAAGTTAACAGTTTTCTTATAGACCAAGTTGACTTGGTAGGCAAATCAGGGGTGTTTTTAAATAAAGCATCTTATTCTAGTAGAGAGAGGGAGAGAGAAAGACGATATTCTTGTAATCATGATTTAACAGAGGGCCGGGTGTAACCGAGTTCAAGAGTATCGTGAGAGAGGATTTCGTACCCTTTGTCTGTGCAAAAGATTGTCTTTTGATAGTGATAGTGATTTGTTTTCAATCCCGTATTTCATCCTATTGAGGGTTTTCCATGTTAAATCTTATGTAATTCTATATACTGCTGTTGTAACGCCCCGCCCCGGAATCCCAGAGTCGGTACGCTATTAGTCTGATGGACTGGCCTCACAAACCACCACATGTCTTTTCAGCACGTTTTGTCCTCACTCACGCGCTCCCTGGAAAACTTCCCAGGGGGTCACCCATCCTAGAATTTCTCCAGGACAAGCACGCTTAACTTTGGAGTTTCTAAGAGTTAGGTTCCCGAACAGAAGATGCATCTTGGTGGTATGAGTATTCCAATCAAATCTATCAATACTAATCACATCACCCTCTCAAGGGTTGGGGTATTACATCCTCCCCCACTTAAACTCACAACGTCCTCATTGTGCCAAATCATATCATCCAAGAGTTGGGGTATTACATCCTCCCCCACTTAAACTCACAACGTCCTCATTGTGCCAAATCATATCATCCAAGATCGTACCATCCGTGTGAGACTCTAGAGGTGGCTGCTACGGCCTCAAGAGGTGGCTCCCGTCCTCTCGATGTAGCACTTTGCGCCGTATAGCACTTAGCTCTCACAATTCCGGTTGGCTTTGCTCTAATACCATTTGTAACGCCCCGCCCCGGAATCCCGGAGTCGGTACGCTATTAGATCTGATGGACTGGCCTCACAAACCACCACATGTCTTTTCAGCATGTTTTGTCCTCACTCACGCGCTCCCTGAAAAACTTCCCAGGGGATCACCCATCCTAGAATTTCTCCAGGCCAAACACGCTTAACTTTGGAGTTTCTAAGAGTTGGGTTCTCGAAAAGAAGATGCATCTTGGTGGTATGAGTATTCTAATCAAATCTATCAATACTAATCACATCACCCTCTCAAGGGTTGGGGTATTACAGCTGTAGGGTCGAAAAATTGATGTTTGATTGATTTCTTGTGTTAAGAAATATGTTCGATCACTTTGTACGAATCCCTTATAATTGCTCACTCACACACACACACACACTCTCTCTCTCTCTCTCTCTCTCTCTCTCTCTCAATTACAGAGGAAGAAAATATTAATTTGACTTCTCTTTTATTTAAAAGTGGATTCTTGGTGGTGAAAGGATGTCTCACTCGATGTTTGAGTTGAGCTTTCTTCCCATTGACGATCAGATCAATATCGCTTCAACTCGAGAAGAGAATCAGACTTTATTGATAGCTTAGATTATTAGAACCGAGATTCGGATATCAATCTTGAATACCAAAGCTCTAAGCTCCCATGCTCCTCGTCTGCCCCCTCCTTTTATAGCTATTTATAGGCCTTTAGTGCGTAACTGATGCCTTAAGTTGTGGAGACGTGGGGTAATTGATGCGCTAAAATCGTAAAGTCGTGGCGTAACTGACTCCTTGGATTTAGCCCACATGGCTGATTGAATTATCGGAGCCGTTATAGCTGGATCTCCCGTGAACGACGAGAGCCTCGCTGCATGGTGAAATTAATCTGATTGAACGAGCCTTAATATGCAGCGAGGTTCGTTTTCTAAGACCAACTTTGTATTATAGCGAACTATGCCTTCACTGACACTGTCTAACGAGCTTCGTATTCACTAACGAACTTCGTTTTTGATAGCTGAGTCCAACTACATAGCAAGTCTTGTGAGTTTCCTTTTGACGAGCCTCATCTTTACTAATGAGCTTTACGTCTGGTGGTGAGTTTCGAACCTCGTATCCAATGACGAGCTTCGAACCTCGTATCCAATGACGAGTTTCAAACCTTGTTTCCAATGATGAGCTTCGAACCTCATTTTTAATGACGAGCTTCATCTTCCAGAGTAGCTTTGTCCACCGTGATGAACTTTGATGTCAAGCTTCGCGATGCAGCGAACCTCGTCTTTTTATGTCGAGCTTCACTGCGTAGCGAACATCGTCTTTTGATGTTGAGCCTCGCTGCATGGCGAAGCTCATCTTTTGATGTCGAGCTTCACTGCATGGCGAAGCTCGTAGGTGAAGTTGTTAGGCGAGCTTCAATCAGTTCAGGCGAGCTAAGTTGTCAGGTGAACTTAGTATTACAGACGAACTTCAATGTTCAGGCGAACTCCAGTCTTGCAGGCGGACTTCAGAGCATGCTGCGAAGAATGAGTCATAACTTTAAAACCGTAAGTCGGAATTAGACGAATTGTACATAAAAATTAACTATCTCGACAAGACGGAGCCGACCAAACCTATCCCAAAGGGTTCGGTTTGCTCCTGTCCTTCTTACCAAATTCCTTATGGTTTGAGAGATATTAGTATTTTTGTCAGTTTTGAGCTTCTTTGCTAGGAATTAAGGTAATTTTTATTGCCTACAACTGCGTTTGTTAATTTTTTGTTTTTTTACGAAATTTGAAAATCTCAACAAAATTTTCAAGTAATTTTATGGTATAGTCATTGTAAAATGATCAATTTCGATAGATATTATTCATAACTCATCTCCTTACTAAATTTTGGTATTGGTAACAAGTATGTCATCGGTAGCTTATCCACTTTATTTAGTAGGGAAAATAGCGTAACATGTAGGGCATTGTCATTGAGGGGGATCAGGGCAAGAGCTTGGCAGGGTCGAAGCTGCTGAGAGAAAGCACAGAGGCGGTGATTGCAGCAAAGCCCCTTGATGGCCCAAGGTCTGAATGAAGGAAAGAGGTTCTCTAGGATTAAGTATGTGACTCTAATATCATGTTAAATATAAAATATTACTCTAATATCATGTTAAAAAATAGGATATTAGGAGAAATGGTTGATATTCATAGTTTTGATTGTTGAGGCATGATAAACATAGTTTGGTTAACTTCTTTATATGTTGTTGAATATTTGATGATGAGTAACTGCTCCTAAGACTTTATGGGAGAGTAAATTACATTAATTTGGACCGTTAAATCTACATCGGGCCTGTATGAGGCCGGGACTAGCCTAAGAGCCTATTTCGTTGATGACTACCCCCCCCCCTCCCTCAGAAGTATACTGGAATTCAGAACAGGCAACCCGATTACCAAAGTCGATCAACCTTCTTAATTATTCTCTCATATCCACGACTTTATTTTAACTTAAAAGTAAAAGTGCAAAACCTTAAAATCATTATTTATACTACAATAATCATTAATCATACTATTGTGTAATTTAGAATAATATAAACACTGTTCATGCTGCATTTTTTGTTGTTCTTGTAGATAATTATTTGAACCTTTATTAGATACTTCACAAGTATAAATCTTTTTTGACTCTATTAAAGAAAATTAATAAAACTTGCTAATTGGTATATTATTTTGTTAACTGGTTTGAAGATTCCGTTATAAATAGTAGTAAAAAATTATCGTTAAAGTTTTTATAACTAGCTATATACAAAAATCATATTATAAATTTGGTGACAGATATACCACTATAATAATACCAACAGCAACGCGCGTCCTTAATACTAATGATATCCTGTGAATCTATGCTCCAAGTCCCCAAAATTTTTTATGCTCCAATTATAAAATTATAAACTTTTAAAATGGAGGAAGGGAAGGAATTCAGTCTTGAAAAAGGACTTGTCGCCCAAAAGGCCCAGTCCATGCAGACTAAGAATCATTCGGCCCTTTTGAGGCCTTTTAAGCCTTATGCCGACTAAAATTTGGTTCCCAAAAGCTAGGTGAGCCCGTATTATAATATTCTCCTATTTTTAAATTAATTCGATTTAAAGCCTAGTCTTCGAATGCTGACTTTAGTTTCCACTCACACGCTGCAGAGATCCTTCTCCTCGAAGAAAAAGAAAAGAAAAGAAAAAGAAAAGAAAAAGCGAAAAAAAAATGATGCAGATGCTCGGTCTCAGAGGGGCAACCCCCTCCCCAAACCCTAACCCTAGCCCCAATGCCGCTGCTTCTCCGGCAGCCTCGG